TTTTTTCTTTCTTTTTCTTACTAAAATTGAAAGAAGAGGAAGTTGAACACAGTTGTGTATATACTAAAAAGATAAAAAGAACTTGTACTTTGAGTTCCTTTTCCACCTAGTAAATAATCGTTTTCATCATCTTCATCGTCTTCTTCTTCTGGTAAAGACGAATATAAATAATCGGTTGAATGACCATTCAACTTCTTCATTAATTTATCACATAAAGTTTTTGGACCTTTAATAAAACACAGTTTATTATACATTAGCCATCCTTTTACTGCAATCTGAGTCTTACAAAACTTACCGACAGTTGTTAATTCTCCATCAAAAACCTGTCCACCACATGTATATGCAACTTTATCATCTTGAATAATACATTTATCCAGTGGCGCAATCATCAATTCATTATTGAGTACATTTTTGAACAAAGTGTGTGTGAAAGCACTAGTTCTCGCGGTCATAGTTTATCTACAAATAGAAAAGAAAAGACTTATTAGAATGACCTAATGACAACAAGTTAACTAGGTTCAAATTAAAGAGCATAGAAAGTGTATAAAGCTATCTGCCAAAGTTGTCTACTCTTTCTTTGCTTATTTTACTTTTCACTTTTAACTGAATATTGTTTCACATGTGTAATCTCTATGTAATAAAACACGTGTATTATGCATTTTTTGATGTTTTTAACTAAAAAGCAGATACCTTTTTTAAACAAGTAAAAAAAAACAGTTGCTCAATTCTTACCCAAATTACTTTTCGAAATTGAAGCGCTAGATCATTTAATTCGTTCATGAAATCATAATTTGTGTGCATTGTCGCTATTTTTGTTGATTAATCATGTTCATACGTACAAAGTACTTCAGAAAACAAATATAAATCAAAAAATGGAATAACTACACATTGATGCAAAATTTGTCCTACACGTATAATAGAAAAATCAAATGAGTTCATATCCACGACACTATAAAAACGATCGATAAATGCATGGGCTATATGTCCAACTTGATCAGTGCGTTTTGTTCTTATAACATCATCCATGCATGTCAATCGTTTAATAAATGCATAGTTTATACACTGCTGTTCAAAATACCAAATCACTATGGCAAAACATTTGGCTTTGTTTACCAGACATTGAGTACTTTTGAAGGAAACGATGTTAGTCAATTGGGAACCCATTCGACTATATAGTAACGAATTAAATTTAACTATGCCACGCAGAAAACGACAATATAATGAAAAATCAGTGTTTATTATTTGATTGAATTGAATTTGGTGTAGATTTTTGAATTCAGCGAAGTAATCTTGATGAACATTAAGATTCAAATACGAATTATCATAAATTTTTTCGTCCACGAATAGACTGTCAGTGGTAGCTGTTGTATGTTCTTCATCTTGTTGAGAATCACGTAATAAATAAGACTTAAATATTTGATGGGGAATTCTGATATTACCTTTTCTACTTTTCTTCAACGTACCAAGAAAACTTTCATCACCGAAGCATCCATGGGCAAATAAAGCTCCATGTGACAATACTTGTTGAGGAAGATATTTGTGAGCATGTAGACTGTACAATTGAAGTTTGTCATCTCCGTAGACGACCGAAATATCTTTACGGTATTCATCAAGAAGTGGTTCGATTGCGCTAACGTCTTGAATATTCTCGTAGAAGTGCATGACTCGTACGGCAACGAAATATAATAGGAAATGAGAACTGATTTCATCTGAACCGAATATAAATATTAATGGGAAGGACACGAACAATAAGAAATATCTATAATCTTTTGACTTCCACCAATTTATACAACTCAATGAAGTTACACTTAAAGAATTTATTGGAATAATGAGGTTTTCGACGAAATGAGAAAGAGTACTGAGACCATATTTTTTTATCCAAATATTCAATATTGAAGACATATGCGTACTAAAATAAAGAACGAAAAGGCCGCTAAAAAAACTTTACTCCTATCGATGAAAAACATAATCCTTCACTCACCTACAACAAAGATGCATATAATCAAATGGACAGTTTTCTTGAACATCAATAAACAATGATAATAAAGGTGATTTACCATGAACACCAAAAACTGACATTTGATTTTGATTGCGATCAGCTTCTGCTGCTGCTGTCAGATAACTGTGGTGTGAATGAGATGGTTGTGGATCAATGTATAGCTAATAAATATATGTTCCTCCGACTGTTTTTCCGTACTGTAGACAATTTGAACAACTGTAATATCCGTTGTGTTGTTTAATGCAAATCGACATTGAACGACAGGGAAGATCGGCTTTGAATAACTGAAATTTGACACTGAATTTTTTTTGATTAATGACAATGAAATTTTCGTTGACTAGCTGTGCAACCTGTTTACATACACGATCGTAGAGTAATAATGGTGTAGGCTCATTTTCAGACAGATAATTTACGAGTAGAAGTTTGTTCCGAGCATATTCACGTAGAGGAGGAGGTAATTCCAATATTGTTCCTGTAACTACATAAAATTTTTTAGGTTTCGTTGTGATCATCTGAATTCCATCCGCATGTATCATTAAAGTTAAACGATTAAATTTACTATTTTGATGAAGTTG